TGAGGGGATTTTGGGGGGGGGGGTTTTTGGCGGTGAGGGGCCGGGCGGGTTGGTTTTTGTTTTTCGGGAAGGGGGTGGGAGGGGCGACGGCCGTAGTGGCTTCGGGGATCTGGCCTGCTTTTTGTGGTGGTGGGGGTGGTGGTTGTCGGGGGGGGTAGGATAGAGGGGTGGTGAAGGGTGGTGTGGCCTGCCCCTGGTCCCGCTCCGCTTCCCGCTCCTGCCCCGGCTCCGGATAGAGGTGTGGTTTCGGTGTTTGTGATGGGAGCTGCTGCTAGGGCTAGTGGTGGAGGCGATGATAGAGAGGATGATGCATCTACCGCTGTTGGAGGGATAGGTGCCGTCTGCGTTGTGGATTGCGAGAGTGAACCTGGCGCATATACCATCGGCGCGGGATGGGTGGAGATGGAGGTGGAGATGGAGGCGGGCGGGGCGGGGTCGGCATTGTTGGCATTGCTATCGCTACTGTCTATGCCCATAGGGACAGCTGTAGGTATAGATGTAGGGGCGGAAGGGGATGTTTTAGGCTCCTGTGCCTTTGAGACGGGAGCTTCAGATGGGTCGGTCGAAGGGGATTTCTGGTTAGGTATGTCTACATCCCCTTTGGTTTGGGTGTGGGATACCATGATGATTGAATGAATGCAAGTGAACGTGAAATCAACAATAGACAATGTTCGATAACTGGATATATAGGGATTCGCGTGGAGTGGTATGCAACTTGAGGTCTGGTCAAAGCTATGTAGACAAGTAGTTGCTTGCTGAGCTCCTTTTAAATTGATATCATCAGTCACGTGTACTTCAAAAATATGTGAGCAACGCAATTTCCGCTTGTGAATGTCCACCAGATATGATATCTGGACAAAAAATATAGGGTAACAAACTTTTATCTACTTGGTGATAACGAGCTTTCTCTATCCCAGACCCCAGAAGAGTCCCAGAAGCGTATTATGACAGATGGGGAAAAGCTGAAAAAAGACTAACAGGAAAGAGGAAGTTTAGAAAAGGAAACTTGAGGGAATTGATTTGAATGCCAAAATTTGAACACACATACACAAGAGGAAGTACAGAGAAAAAGAAAAAGCTCGCAGGCAGCAGTAGTAGTGGTAGTAAAGTTACAACATGTTTTAAGGAGAAAAAGACCCATATTTGCTTCCATGCGACCAAGACCAAAGGAAAAAGGTAGTTCTTGACGCACATCGTCTATCTTTTTTGTTTCTTTTTTTTTCTGTTTCTTTTTTCTCCCCCGCCATACAACGCTCCCGCAGCGCCACATGCCCCAACATGCCCCAATGCACCCCCTGCAGCGCAAACAACCTCAACTCACACCACTCTAAGCCGGCCCCATCCCTTCAACCACAAGGGATTTGTTGAATAATACATGCGTTTATTTGAAGGCCTTGCCGAAGAGGAGGAGCTGGACTTGGTCGTAGATGGAGAGCACACCAGCACCGGCGACACCACGGAGGATGTTAGCACCAGCACCCTTGAAGAAGGATCGGACACCTTCCTTGGCGGCGATCTGTCGGGCAGCATCCAAGGACGAGGAGTACTTAACGGCCTATTTGGTGTTAAAAAAAAGTTTGGTTAGCCAAAAAAAAAAAAAAGGTGACCAATATTAGTAATTAGGGTGGATTAAACAGTATACATACCTCACCAGACGTCATCATCATACGACGACGGATAGTGTCAAGAGGATAAGAAGCAATACCAGCACCAGTGGTGACACCCCAGCCGAGCATGAAGGAGGCGATGAAGCTGCCCTCAAGAGGACCAACGAGGAGGACAGGCTTGATGGAGTCGTACATGCCGAAGTAGAGACCACGATAGACGACAATTCCAAGGACGGAGGGACCGAAACCACGATAGAGACCAGCGATACCATCAGACTTGAGGGTCTTCTTGTAGACATCGATCAGGCCGTTGAATTGACGCTCGCCAGTGCCCTTGGAGCTCTTGGCATCGTTGGCAAGACGGGTACGGGCATAGTCGAGGGAGTAGACGAAGAGAAGGGAGGTGGCACCAGCAAGCTAGATGTCAATTAGCCGAGATTATTTATCAAGAACAAAAAAGGTTTCGTGTTGTTGTGAACTTACACCACCGGAAGCCAAGTTACCAGCCATCCATTTGGCATATCCATCCTTGTCTTTCTTGAAGTTGAACATGGCCTTGTAGGTATCACGGAAAGCAAAGTTGAGGGCCTGGGTAGGGAAATAACGGATGACGTTGGCAGTGTTTCCTCTCCACAGGGAGACGACGCCCTCGTTCTTTGCGGTTCTGCTGAAGCAGTCGACGATACCATTGTATTTGCGGTCGAGACGGCCGGTTTTCAACATCTCATCCTAAATTGAGTTTATGGTGTTAAACCAATTACAAAGTAAAAATTTTGAAATTTTGAAAATGTAACAGATTTTTTATCAGATCTTGCTTCTACTTTAGCAACATACCTGGTTCTGGATGAGGAGCTTGATACGCTCGATGGGGGCCGCAGCGGTCTTCGAGACGGCGGCGGAGACACCACCCACTGTAAAAGGCACACCATGTTAGTTATCCACCCATTGGTCCGTCACATATCAAAATTTTCAATTTCCATCGAAATCTGTCCACAGTGATAGCCACTCGAATTGGTGATGATGGCTATCATCCCAATCCAGCACGGTAAGAATGATAGGTCACGTACTCATGAAGTCGACCACGAAGCCCTGGAGATGAAAAAGGATATATTAGCCGCTGGTTGTTTCCGGAAAACGGGGGAACGGGCATCCACAGCCATCTCAACCGGGGGTGAGGGACATCAATTGGACTGCGGCATCATCGATTCCCGAGGCCTTGTAGTCATGTTGCAAGTCTCCAACGCCAACAAGACGCGACTGCGCATAGCCCAATTCGGGGAAACATGACATTTTTTTGGTACTTTTTTTTCCCATTGCGAGTTTGAGGGAGGGGAGGGAGGAACTTACGGGCATGCCCATGAAGGACTTATCCTGTTGAGTAGCCATTTTGGGCGATGTGAAATATGAAGCAACACTAAAGAAAGAAAGGAAGAGGGATAAGAGAGGAGATTGAAGAGGAAAAAGAAGACAGGAGAGTTCCTCAAGGGGATGTGTGCTGGGGATGAGAGAGAAGAGAAAAAAAGGAAGAAGAGGAAAAAAAAAATCTGACGAGGAGAAAAGAAAAGAAAAGCGGAAAGCGGTTGGTTGGCAGGGCGAGAAGGGTTTTTTACCGCGCTAGGCCGCTTTGGGCCTCATCACCTCAGCCGAGATCTCCCGAAGAAACAGTAGTGGAAAATCCTACGAGGAAAAGCTCCACCACGGCCAGAACAAAAAGTTTTGTGTTTTTTTTTTTTTTTTTATGATATACGCGATATTGATTTGATTGATTATTATTATTATATACGGGTTGGTTACGGACGGGGCGGACTGCGGGAACGGGATGGGTGGGATATGATATGTTCTGAGAGAATTTGGTCGAGGAAGAGTTTGGCTGTTCGTCTGCAGGGTCTGCAGCTTAGTTACATGTATTATTATATGACCTTCAATACGCCAGCAAGTCTACATATACACATATGTTGAATGATAGTAGCTCTGTCCTGTAACATATAACATGGACCTCTTCCGCACACGATCAATCTCCTTCCAACGGGATACCGATGGTATCTCTCAAAAAGAAAAAAGAAAAAAAAAAAATCATGTTCCAAGCAAACCCTCGGCCTCGTTCGCCAGGGGGGAAGAGGGGACGGTTAAGCAGGTTGGGTTTAGAACAAGCCATTTCTCATTAGTCTGATTGGTTGAGTTTGGTTCTCCCTGCGTTTCTTTTCCAGAAGGGGTGTGGAACTCAAAATTTGTTTGTTCTCTGTTAAAAAAAAAAAAAAAAAAAAAAAAAAAAATTACCGGGTTCATTTTGTTGTTGGGCAATTCAGGGGACTACAAAAGGTACCGTACCCCCCCCATACATGAACACGGACGCGGAAGATGGATTTCATTATTCTTTGTATACAGCGGACACCTTAAATTCCGGGCTTTCTTTCAAGATGACGGAGACAAGGGAGGAAATTGCAGAGGACTTCCGCTGCTTCGGATATCTGAAACTAGGAATGTTGTAGTTCCATATAATTTACAGGAGACTTCATGGACACCCACCGGATGTTTTGTTCAGGACACCGTCCTTAGATCTGATCATGAGATATTTTGCATTGAATTTACGAGGTTACTTATTCTATAAAATCATGTAGTCAGTAATGTAGTAATAACATAAAAACGACCATTTCATTTTTTGTTCTCCTAGTATATGACTACAGATAAAAGGATATCTAACTATGGGGAAAAATAGCAGTACAATACCATTGCATCTCCAACACTCTCCCCAAAAATATGTGGACTGGGTACTATTACTCCTCACTCATCTCACCCTCAATGTTTCTTCGACCGTTTCCGCTTCTTTTTCCCTTCGCGAATATCCACCTCCATCGCCCCATCATCTTTATTCTTAACCACCTCATCTTTACCCTTCGCGTCAGCCGACGCGCCCTGGGGCGTCGATGGCGGCAGCGCAAAGTCAGCAGGGGGTCCGTTCTCATCGCCAAACGTCTCCTTGCGCCATTGCCGTAGCCGCGCTTTCTTCCCCATCCTCTTCAAGTCCCTCTTCTTCCGCTCCGGGTCACGGAATGACGCCAGTTTCTTTAACCCGGCAAACTGGTTCAGGGCGCTGTCGTCCGCCATGAGGATGTCTCGGGCCGTCAGGCCGAAGCTGACGGGGGAGGTTTCGCGGTAGCGGAAGTGTCCGCTGTGTTTCCTGGAGGCGCCGGGGAGCAGGGTTGCGTCAAGGTCGAGATCGAGACTCTTGTCGACGAGTTGTTCGATTTTGCGGCGCTCTTTTCTAGCTTCTTTTTGTTTCTCCTTTTTATTTTGGAGGGCCTTCTTTTTGCTGTTCTTGTGGGATTTTGGTTCAGTGGCGTCGTCTTCTTCATCTCCTTCTCCATCAACATCCCCTGCATCTTGCATATCCATGTCACTAAGCTGAGGCATCTCGCCCCCTTCCTCATCGAAATCAGGAACCAAGTCCTTGATGTCGATATCGTCGTCCCACTTGGGTTTCTTCAGTTTTCGTTTCTTGGAGCTGCCAGCGCCCTCGCCTTCACCATCAGGGTCATCACTACCCTCCTGCTTAGCGTAGTAATCTTCTCCAAACCGTTTCCTCATCTCCTCATCCCACTTCGCATCGTCCCAACCATCGTCAAGGAAACGCGCCCAGTCCTCCTCACTGAAATCCGACGTCCGCAGCCCCGCAGCAGCCTTGATCTTCTCAACCTTGTCCTCAAGTTGCTCGATTTTCAGTTTTCGAAGGCGGTTGCGCTCCGCCTCACGCTGCCGCTTCTCCTCTTCCTTCTTCGCCCGTTCAGCATCTCTCTTCTTCTTCCTGCTGCTAGCTTCTTCTCTTCTAACGGAGAATTTGGAGGTAGTGTCTCGAGAATGTGTCACTAGCACCTCGTTCATTTTATTTGGGTCCTCGAAACGGAGGTTATATGCTTCCTCGAAAGCCTCAGCCTGCTGGTCCTCCTCCTCATCATCGGATTCTAAGGGCTGGAATTTCGACTTTTCGGTCGGGACCCAGGCCCGGGCTTTCAAGAAGTTGGACAGGAAGGTTTCAGGGTCTTTGTCCGCGGATTCAACATCCAACACAGGAATCTCTGTAGTCTCAGTGACGGTTCGCTTTGTCTTCGGAATGAGAAAGCCACCATCTTCATCCTCATCCTCATTTTCACCATCGCCACCACTCGCATCGTTGGTGGCGTGCATTTCTTTGATAATCTCCCGTTTCAGATCTTCTTGTTCCTGCGCAAAGGTCTTGGGCGCCTCCTCCTCCTCCTCCTCAGTCTCATTCTCGCCGCCACTGGCGCCACGCAGCAGATTTTCTCTGTGGTAATCACGTATGAACATAGGCTTCTCCTTCTTCGCAGACGACGCCTCCGGCTCGTCCTCCGGCTCGTCCTCTGCTTCTTTGATTTCGCTGTAGAATTTGGCATTGGCATCGTAGACCCTGGGGTCCTTGGAGCGGATGGCATTTAACGTATCAAATATTTCGCGGTCGAGGGCTTCGGTTGCGAGCACACCTTCGTCGTCTTCATCTTCGGAGTCAGACGATGATTCTTCTTCTTCAGATGCGTCCGCTGTGTCGACATCGCCATCCGCCGCCTTTTTGCGCTTCCCAAGGCCAATCGATTTACCATATTTATCCTCCACTATATACATAGGAATTGTTAGAAAAGAACAAAGGGAAAAAGGAAAAAATAAAATAAAAAAATAAAAAAAATGAATGGAAACGGAATGTAAAAGAAAATAGAGTTAGTCTCAAAAAACGCACATTGTTGTAATTCCTCTCTCTTCTTGTTATACTCGAACCGTTTCGCATACTCTTCGTTGATTTTGAATCCGACATTCTCCCCATTGTCTAGCAGGGCTCCTCCATTGTCACTGCTTTCGTCGGAACTGTCATCGTCCATGAGCAGCTTCTTCTGCTTTTTGGCTGGTGGCTCCATTCTCGACAACAACAGCGAAGGTTTTTGAAAAACCAACCGAGTTTCAACAGTAGTTGAAGTAGTTGAGAATTGTAATTATATGAAAATGACAGTAGGAAGAAAATACACCAGCAACGGTACTGCGCCAACGCTTAGGGGCGCGAAATCTGGATATTTTTGTAGTAGTTACATATATATATATTTTGGTGGGAGTAGTGTTTTCTTTTCTTTTTTCTTTTTTTGCTGACTGGCTGGCGGAGCATAGCTTAATCCGCGGTAGCCAATAGAAGACGGCGTCGGGCTGGGCAGCGCGGCTTTGTTCAGCTCTCGCCGCTAGCCTGGTTATCGAGGAAGGCGGAGAGCCGCGGGCCTCCCCACTCCTCCTACATATATATATGTAAAACAGACAACGTCGCGTCTCTTCCATGTCTTACTTCTCCGTATATACATACATCTCTCCTTCCCTACCTGCGTTTTTATAATGCGCTCTGTCTGTTAATCATTGGCTGCTTGGATCTCTAAACGCCCAATTCCGCCTGATCTATGGAAACGGCGGTGTATCACGCATGATTGCTTGCTTGCTAGATGGCGTCGTCCCAGCCAGCGTCCTCCTCTATCATCAAGGATGGGAACCCCATTAGTGCCATGTATGCTCATTTCCTTGTTGACTGGCTTTTGTTGGATCGATCCCATGCTGCTGTGTAGCTAGCTGACACAAGATGATTTATAACCAGCCCGGTGGGCCTGAAGGAGGCCGCTCTCGATTCCCCGAGCTTTCGTGCCACCGCCGTGCATTTCGCTGAGCAGATCGATCTTGTGGAGAAATGGCTCGATGGATTTGCTAGGAGTGCTGTTAGATTGAATTCGGAGCTCATGTCATTGGAAACTGCGGCAAACAGCTTCATATCCAACATTCTGGCTCCCGGGGCGGTCTCAGAAGCCGTCATTGATCATGATTATGCTTTTCTTGCCTTGAAACGTTATGGGGAGAGCGTGAAGGATTTTTGGAACGGTGCTATATCAACAGCTAAGAAGTCAGATTCCTTGATTGCTGAACCTATTCGAGCGTTCATCCAGAATGATTTGCGGCAGTTCAAGGTTCGTAGTGTTCGGGCCAGTGGTGTTGGCCTACAACTTCCCTCTTCGTTAGGTATCGCGTTTTACTGATGGCCTAATTGGCGCAATAGGAAACTCGACGTACACTTGAATCAACTCAAAAGCAGCACGATACTTTACAAATCAAATATGCTGGCCAGGGCAAATCGAAAGAGCCATCATCATTACGAGAAGATGCGTTCCAGCTACACGAAGCTCGCAAGGCCTATTTGAAGGCATCAATGGAATTTTGTATCCAATCGCAGCAAATAAAGAATACGCTCGACAAGCTCATCGTGCGCGTTTCCTGCGATCAGTGGCGGGAGCTCAGGATTTTGCGAGATACCAATTCATCGACGTTGTCAAAATGGGGCCAGGAGATGGATCGAATAAAGGGCTGGACCAACGAGATGGAGACAAGCGAGAAGCTATCAAAGCGTGACCTGCTCGCAGCGAGAAAGCAAATCGAAGAAGCAGCTGAGCTGGCGGTTCGCCCATCTCGAGAACTTGACGATTATGCCGTCTCCACAGTACCATATCTGGGCTCGCATGGCCCCACCTCACTTAAAATGGGCAAGGACCATACCTTCTGGCCAGAAAAGCAAGGTTGGTTGAGTTTGAGGATCCTAACTGGCAAACCTACAAGAACGGCCTGGGTCCGCCGTTGGACCTTTTTGAGAAATGGGATTTTTGGATGTTTAGTACAAGGCGCTCGAACTGGCGGTGTTGAAGAAAGTGAGAGAATCGGGGTTCTCCTATGTAGCATTCGACCTGCATTTCAAGAAGAACGCCGATTTTGCTTCGAGGTGAAGACGAAGAACAATACTATAATGCTACAAGCTGAGACTCAAAAGGAGCTCACAGAATGGATCGGGTCATTTGAAGCAGCCAAGCGAAAAGCCCTCGATAGTCCTTATCCGACTTCTTTGCCTGGAAACCTACATATCCAAGACCCTGCTTTCTCAATTTCTCAGCCACCTGCACCTGAGTTTGCTGCAGATTCTTCAGAGTCCCTGACACCCAACACAAATGATGAAGCTTCCATTCTAGACCGAAGTTCCACTGCTCCACTTACAGATCGTGACGGTTTGGCAGTACGGAATAGTAGCGACTTGTCATCTCCCAGGCGGTCCACTGCAGCTGATCGTGAGGATGGCGGAAAGGACCATACAACTCGGATTATTCAGAAGCTCGATATCCATCGACGCGCCACCACTGGACTGCACCAATCCGGCACTTCATCTCCTCAGCCCAACCCCCCTGGAATAGCTAGCCTTATATCTGCCAGTCACAGTCTTCTTCCTCTCAGCGCGCAAGCACTGGCCAATGCCCCAGAAACTGAAACTAAACAACGAGCACAGAACCCCTTTATCTACAATACTCGAGATACGTCGGTGGGTTCTCTTGCACCACCAACGTTGGCGAATCCTCCTGCGCATACCAGTATGAGTAGGGTAGCGGTGGTTGTGAGCACTGAAAGAGGAGTTGGGGTCAGATTCCCAGATGGTACAGGGGGAATACCAACCGGGATGATGGCAAATCTTTGGGGAAGTTCACATTGGGGTTATGTGAACAGACTGGAGCGCAATGGAGTATCCATGTGTCTCGGAGTAGCTGACCGTCAGGTATATTGTGTTGTTGTTTCTAAAGTATAGTGTTTTCTATTAACTATATAGCTAACATACGACTGCAATATAGTCCAAAGATTCCGCTGAAGAAGCTCCCGGGAATACCAACTCACCAGAATATCCCCCTCCCACAAGTCATCACAGACAAACTGTCAGTCTTGGTGGTGGCGATTCATCAACTCTGAGTGACGGCGCCACAGTCCTACACGAGTACCCAAGCTATTTCCCTGCATATCTAAAGCCCCATGACGCCCAATTCCGTCTCCTTTTCCCAAACATACCGGGGGATGAGACTCTTCTCCTTGTATTCCGAGCGTTTTTTAGTTTGAATGACCAGCAGGACTTTCCAGGAAGAGTATATGTCACCACAAGGCGTATTTACTTTTACAGCAATCATTTCAGTCTCGTACTCACAAGCTGTGCCGACCTCGATATGATTACTGAAGTGACGGCTGCTCCCGGCAGAGATTGCGACTTTTTGTTCCTTCACCTAGCTGCTGAAGAGGGAAGTGATATCCCTCGTCGACTGACGATAAAAACCTTCTTGGATCCTTTGAAATTAATTCACAAGAGGCTGAATTATCTAGTCGGCATTGCCTCTTTGAATGAACCACCTAACCTGGAAAGCATATTCAAATCCTTGGTGAAAATGGAACAAGATATTACCCGGACACCCAGCATGGAGAGTTGGGAAGATGTCTCACTGAATACCCCAGTCGACGGAGCGTCGAATGGTGTAAGTGGGAAACGCTCCGATGCCCCTTTGAAGCCAGTACTACGCAGTGACCATGATCTGGATATGAATAAGCGCAAGTCTGATTATCACGACGCACCTCGATTCAAGTTGCCATCTCAACCCGTCGAATATGTACCGCAGGGCGCTCTTTACCTGGCTGCTGAGAAATTCTATGATATTAGTTCGAAAGCCTTGTTCCACATTCTTTTTGGGGATAAGAGTGCCGTTTGGCAGCTGCTTCAACACCAGCGGAGAGCCCAAAGTAAGTTTGAAATATTTCGCCCCATGTGCCAGCCATGATTCCGAACTAATCGGACTAAACGAAAAAGACATCAGACAGGGCCCATGGTCGAATCTTCATTCTGCACATTTGAGACGTGATATCCAATACCAGATAAATATGGCAGATACATTCAGTAAGCTAGATCCCAGCCTCGCATCCACGGATTTTCCGGGCCCAAACTAATAAAACTTAGGACGGCTTCGCCTCACGGATGTATCTGACTACCAAATTCTCGATGTCCTAAACGATCACTTATGCTACGTAGTAACAGACAAAAGGACGCCGTGGCATCTTCCTTTTAAGCGTTATTTCAGACTGGTCAGCAAAATCGTTATTACCCATGTCTCCAAATCAAGATGCAAGCTTGCCATATTCACCAAAGTGGAGTGGCTGTGGGAGCCATACCTTATTCGAAGTAGGTTTTCCTCCCATTTACCCCATTTCCAGAGTCAATGTACCTGAGCCGTACCAGTAGCTAATGTGACGGATCAACAGGTATAATCGACAGGCAAGCCTTGAACGATCTCGAACAGGATGCGCTTGACCTTGTAGATCTTGTATCTGAAGAGGTTAAACGGCTTGGACCTCACAACCAAACGAAAAGGGCCATAGCGCAATTCGGCCACGTCGGCCGCCAAACGCGTGGAATCGAATTTACTGAGAGTTCGCAAAATTTAAAATCTCGTCTTCGCCGGCCCGTCAAACAAAGTGGTATCATCCCACTCCTGCTAGAAACTTCCGGATCTTTGCTACAGAGTGCAGTATCATCGTTGATGATCTGGTTCTGGGTGCTACTCCGATGGATATGGAAAACCTGCAGCGCGCACAGCATCATTCTTTTGCTCCTCGCGTTCAGCATGCTTATTAACGGGTACCATTCGTATCATGATACGGTTGAATGGTGGCATGAACGCAATGCTGGCAACTTCATGACCCGGCTTGGTGTTGGACCTAACCGAGTGATGAGCAAGGCGGTATATATTAAGGACATGGACATTGTTGTTGCTAATGCTACTGAAATCGATACGGGCAATTCAAGTTCCTGGTCAGTCCATTATTATTATTACTTTTGTTCTATCGGTGTTACAAGTTACGCAGACAGTTAACTTTGTTTCAATTATAGCTTCTCAACTTTCCGGGATAACAACGCTTTAAGATCTGCAGATCTGCCACGGGCAATCACAACCTCTGCAACCAAAGCGAAGGATTCTAGGGCAAAGGGCGCCGCACAGCAGCTCCAACGCACAAGAGAACGGTTAGGTATTTACCGACATAACCTCCTCGTTGCCCTCAGGGTGGTCAACCGGATAGAGAAGGAGGTAATTCAAGCGGAATGGGAACGCTGGCTTCACCAGGAGACGCAGAAGTGCCAAGTGATCGAGATTCTGTTGAACGATCGGGAACGATTGCATGACCGAGACCACGGCGCCGGCGGCGACAGTGACGAAATTATCTCGGACTTTGAGAAGAGATTCGCAGCCACTGATATTGAAGATATCCAGCTTTGGTATCAGGATTATTGTTTGAGTTGTCAGCGGGAACTAGAGAAGGTTCGTGGTTGATTGATTTCAGTAACAAAGAGGGGTTGTTCATATATATATCCCTTGGTTCTCCGATGTTTGATTTGCCCACGTTTTTCCCAGCGGGTGTTTGTCATTCTTTTCTTTTCCCTCCCGTTTTCTCATTCGTGGCTTTTTTTAGTTTGAAAACGGGAAAAATTGGTTGGCTTTGATATGATACCCAGTTGATCTGGTGTTCGGGTTCGTGCTGCAGCATGCCATGATGGATCGATCAAGGGTTGGTCTTTTGCGTCTGTCGACTTGTCTCTCTTTGCTTTCGGTTTCTTTCTCTTTTTGGTTTGACATGGGCTTTTGGGTAGCGTTTAAAGATAGACGGATGGATAATACACCTGGTTTGTTTTATTATATTACCTCAGTTCCTTCGCTTTTGGTGTGGAATCAAGGGCTCTGGTGTGTGTCGAGTAGGTGCAAATCTGACTTCGGTCGTCAGAGTAGATCAATGTTCTTTGTGACCGCCACCTACTTCGAATGCCCTGATGCTGACAGTGAACTTACGACTGATATCTACCCACCAATGCCGCCACAGGCCAAATTTCCCCTTGCAATATAGGCAAGAGATACCAGGCGCGCGTAGCCCATAGGATAAATATCCAAAGAAGAAAACAATCATTCCCCCTTCAATTTTGTCTCGGTTTCACGCTCCCCTCAAGCACGACATAGTACACCACCGTCCCATCCCCGCCCATCCCTCTATTCACCATTGCCATCAAAGCTCGTTTCCCACCCCACTCCTTCCCCCTCCTCCTCCGCTCATATTCCGCAAATATCTCCTCTTTACTTAACTTTCTCCTATCATTCTTCTTCGCATTCTTCTTTTCCCCCGTCTTCTCCATCTTTACTCTACTTTCCGTTTCCGAACCCGAACCCGAACCCGAACCACTGTCACCATCTCCATCTCCATTCACAGCCTCGCCCCCGTCTCCGTGTTTGCTGTCAGGCAATGGCAGTGAATCAAAACACTCCACCAACCTCCTTAAGCTCCACGCCTGTCCCTGCGCCGTTGGAATCACCCACTCGCGTTCCACAGGCACATCGTCCGTGCCAATGCCGTGCTCGAGCATGAACGCTTGCTCGTCCGGATGGGTGTAGAGGGTTTGCGGGGGCAGGCCGGATATTAGGGGCATGCGCTGCGCTGGGGAGAGGGTGTGGGGTTCGTGGATGCGTAGGGCTGTCCAGAGGTGTTGGTGCTGGAGGTTATGGAGTACTTGGGTGGTTAGGGAGGCTGTGGGGTTTTGGGTCGTGGGGGTTGTGAGGGAGGTCAGGGCGGAGGGAGGAGGGGTGGAAGAGGTGGTTGTCGTGGCGGTCGGCATGGCGGGTGGTGGTATGTATACAAGTAAGTGAAGGTGCGGAGCTCTAGAGTAATTGTATGATGACTGTAGAAAGAGGCTTCGTTGGATTGGGTATCATCAATCTGGCGTGATCTGGCGCCTTCAGGGCTGGGGAGAGCTCTGCCCTTGAGTATCTTGGGTCGGGTCCCGCCGGAGCTGTGACAGGCGGAGTTTAAGGCTGCTGCGGGGAACAAGCACTTTTGTTAATACGGATCCAAGATAGAGTTCAATCGGAGGAGAATTGGGATATTGATAATGCTATTACTGGATATGTATTCCTGGACGGTTTGTTTCAAAGAAGCTCCATCATCAATCTACAAAAAAATAAACAAAAAAGAAAAGGACCAGTCCGAAGCTTATAAGAAGCGTGACCCGCCAAGCCCTAATCAGCCCCAGCCAAACAGAACAGATGGCATCATGGAAAGTTTAAAGATAAATGTACATGTACGTATCTGACAATTTTTAATTTACTCTCCATCTCAACCTCTGCCTCTAATACCTCTTCGGCTTTTCTTTCAATAATATAGACATTTCCTTTTTGTTTTACTTTTAATTCAATTCAGCGCTTTAGATCTTCTTGTCTGTTTTATTGTTCAATCCCATTCGCTATTTGCCATTCGCCTTTCGATGAGTCCATTCTTCGTCGCGCCAAACAGACACACGCATCGAGTTCAATTCCAACAGCTGTTCAACCAAAATGGCGCGCCAAAAACAAAAGGTTCCTTTACAACGAACTCCTTCGTCTGGAGTTATGAATGCGCCTCCAGATCTCCCGGAACATCGTACGCGGCAAACCAACTGTGTCACACCAGGCAAAACTCTCTCCGAAACCGCCGCAAAATCATCAGCGGCCGGTAGCCATCATTCGGACTACCCCAGCCTTCTTCGATTAGTTATATGTGTAGGGGGAATATATGCGTCATTGTAAGAGATATTCTACTCTAGCTTTTATCCACGCCATGTGCTAAATTTTGCGTGCAATTGAAAAGTTTGTCTTGGGGAGTTCTTCAGGAAGCCATCACCACTACTTCATATCCCCTCTACGCTCCGACCCCAGATGATCCCAACCCGCCAAAGGAACGGTGGACATATTCAGTCGTCCTGAATACGATCCAGTCATTTTTCGCTGCCATCACAGGCTTCATGTACCTCTATTTTTCCACTCCACGAGGCCAAAAACTTCCAGCGGTCTTCCCAACAACTCGCATCCTCTTCCCCCTTATTCTCATTAGCGTATCCTCATCCCTCGCATCGCCCTTTGGCTACGCCAGTCTTGGACACATCGACTACCTTACCTTCATCCTTGCGAAATCCTGCAAGCTTCTCCCAGTAATGTTCCTCCATCTCACCATCTTCCGCAAACGCTATCCCCTGTACAAATACGGCGTCATTCTTCTCGTAACCATTGGCGTCGCGACGTTCACCCTCCACCACCCCACCTCCAGCAAGAAGAAAAACAGCCGTAATAGTAATGAAAACGGCTCCTCTCTCTACGGCCTCTTCCTCCTATCCGTGAACCTACTCCTAGACGGCCTCACAAACACAACCCAAGACCACATATTTTCCTCTCCGAAGCTGTACTCGCGCTTCACCGGCCCGCAGATGATGGTGGCCCAGAACCTGCTTTGCACACTCCTAACAATCACCTACCTCCTCGTCACTCCACACCTCTCAACCTCAATCCTCCCCCTGATGCCCCTCCCTATCGACCTATCGCAGACCTCCGAGCTATCTTCCGCCCTTGCATTTCTATCCCGCCACCCAACCGCAACAAAGGACGTAATCGCCTTTGCTGCCTGCGGTGCGGTTGGACAATTATTCATATTCCATACTCTCGCGCATTTCTCTTCCCTACTACTTGTCACCGTTACAGTTACGAGGAAGATGCTTACGATGGTGTTGAGTGTGATGTGGTTCGGCCACCGGCTGAGCGGGGGCCAGTGGATAGGTGTTGGGCTGGTCTTTGGCGGCATTGGGGCGGAGGGATTGATGCAGAAGAGGGAGAAGGCTAAGAAATTGGCAGCGAAGGAGAAGGAGAAGATGAATGGCAGTAATATGAGTGGTAAGGGGGAGAAGGAGTTGTAAAGGCTTGGCGAGGTCTATGCATATATATCCATTCACGATATATAAAAAAATATATTGAAATATGGGCAAAGTAGTGGTGCTTTGTCATATTTCTTCATTTTCTGTATTATATATGGTGGCGGCGTTAATTTATTTCGGACACTTTGGAGAGTCTCTTTGAAGCATTTATATATCCATCTCATGACTTGCGCCCTCATTCCTATCCCTTACCGAATGCGCCTTTCATTAAGTGCCCCTTTTCACGGCTCAGGGGCCACAATGAGCCCAATGATGACAGCTAACAGGCATATTTACTGAACGTTATACCTCATTAACACTTGATCTTGTAACACTAGAAATTCGATAGCATAGATAGTCAAAATACAGAGTGTACTCATATTCTTCACTAGAATATTGCCTGACTACTTTTTCGTACGTCCATCACCACACGCAAAACAAACAAGAGTATATCACACATGTCTCATTTGTGGTATATATTATATTATATGTGTTCCATAAGCATGCCCAAAAAGAAAGTCTATTTATCTTAACTCTGCGGCACTCGTTACGGATGGGAATGTCGCCCAGATAGCAATGGGTATTAGGGAGGGCGGAATGAGATAAAAAATAAAAATAAAAATAAAAAATAAAGAGCTCGGTTGAAAGAACAAGATGAAAGACGGGCACTACGCTGATATAAAAAATAAGGGGTTAAGGGATGAAGTAACGCCTGTCTATCTGATCCTTAAAAATCATATGCAACAACAACAGCACCGATGCCCCCCCTGAATTCTAGCGAGGGTAAATTTTGGTGGCGGGGCCTTTTTTAGAAAGCTGCGAGAAAACAAACGGAGATATATATATGGGTGCATAAATCGTGACGCGGAAAGGGAGTGGAGACATGGCTGGAAGATAGGGGGAAAGTAGTTGTAGAGGGCAAGGAGAAGAATTAAGAATTTGCTGGAGTTTGGAAGGGTGGGGTGGAGGCACGTGGTTAGCTGTGGTCGTTCGCACATCCCAACGTTTGTCCCGCAGTCACAGCTCGAATTCCAATGTTTTTGCACAACGCAAGAGAAGCATGTGTATAATTTTATGGGAGTGTTTGCGTTGAGATTGCCAGAATTATCATCGCCATTCATCAAGACGTTCATTAATTGCAGCATTCCCTTTTCTCTGCTTAAGAGTCATGGGCGTGCGAAAAGGGGGTTAATCAATAAAACCTAGTCCAAGAAAACGGTTGAACCAACAACCACTCATGGTCTTCATGCTGTTCTCCAGATTCTTATGAATGACCGGCCCTAGTCTCTGGGAAACATGATTCAAACTTCGCCATTAGGCCCAGATAGTGATAGTGGCGGTGGCATTGGGAGGAACATTGGCCGTTGCCGGGTCTCGTTTCCCTCCGCATCAAGCTTTCGTTTCCCAGACGGCGGATTGGACAGCTCATAGTACGGTCCAATTCCCTTCTCCTCGGGCGAAGGGTATGCTCTGGAAACTTGCTGCTGGTTCGCTGAATCTTTCTGGCCTAGGTCTTGCCTGGCGGAGGCAGAGCGTGGGCGAGGGGGGTTTATGAGTGGAACATCTGTGGAGTGGATATTTGTCGCGTGTCGGGTGGTTTTATATGATGCCATTTCTTGATTTGAGAGGAGAGGGGTGACCAAGTTGCGAGGTGGGGATGTGAGTCTGTGGACATATGTGTGAGCCCCGGTATTAGGGGCGTGGGCATCGATAAGCTCTAGGGGGAAGGAGGGGTCTGTGGCGGGATTGTAAGGAGATGTTTTAGGTGATTTTGAGATGCAAGCCGCAGAATGACACTGTGAAGCACCAGGGGGTTTGGGCGGTGCCATTGAAGTATGACATTGACAGTCGCCTTCTGACCAGCCACGGGAGTCTTTGCTTAGTTTGACAGAAAGCACTCTTTGCTCCGCGCCAGGCCTATCCGTCGTCTGCCATTTTCGCCTGGCTCGTTTAGGATTCCCTTCGTCCTCCTCTACGGACGTTTCCTCATTTATGCCCTCGCTTTGAACTCCATCCTCATGATTTCCATGTCCATGTCCATCGCCGTCGCCATCACCATCACCATCATCACCCTCAAGATCAGCAACCCGGTTTTCCAACCCCATGGTCGAATCATCAATTATGCCGATTCTCTCCTCCAACCTAGACACATGATCCAACAGACTATCAGTCTTATCATCCACCGCAGCAAACTTTTGCGGGACCTCCCGCTCCATAAATTTATAGAACGAATGCATAGCCTCCCTCAGAACCCGAGCGTCTTCACGACGTGCCCGCCGCTCCTCTCTCAACTCCTCTTCCCATAGCTTTCGATCCTGCCGGTGCTGCTCCTCTAGCCGGGAGACTCTTTCCAGAAGAGCCGCCAGCGCCAACGGCGAGACAGGCTCACTCACTTGGGAACTGTTCACCATGTTACCTGATTGATGGTAACATGCCTGATGGCCACATTCACAACTAGCGCCTAGACGGGATTCGTTGCGACGAAATCCCTGACACGAGCAGCGCTGGCCGGGAATAGATGGGTGGAGCAATATAAATCTGCATTCGCCTGTTGGAAGAGCCAACTTTGCGGGAGGGGCCGGCAGACTGAAGCTGTTCCTATGGGGCTGTCTGTGAGAGGTTGAGTCTGAGGAAGGAGATGGAGTATTAGGGCTGAACATTAGACTCAGAATACGCGCATGTCGTTAAACGTTCAAATGCATGTTTACGCAGGAAAACCGATGCTACGAGAAGTCTTTGGATGGTGGATGTGTTGGATGACTTGGTGGGCTTTTAAAGGGTGGGTATTAGAAGGATGGAAGGTGAGTGGGGGTTGACGCGATAAGGGCGAGGCGACGATTCTGAGAAGTAGAAAAGAGGAGAGAGGTGTTGAAGAGGTAAGTGAGAGGATATCACATGTGGTTTGTACGGAGAATGGAGAGGTGAAATCGGACCGGTAGCCTTAACAAGTGAGAGAATGTTCTACGTTGTTGATCGCAAATACGAAAAAAAAAGCTGATCAAGGATATGCGCTGCCCTGGTATTTTATTTTGCAGGGAGCAAGATTTTCTGCTAGAAAAAAATTTAGGATGCGACAAAGCAAAAGCCAGAGCCGACAGAGAACGGTTAGACGAGGAAAATATGAAAAGCAAAGAGAAGATGAGTTGTTCTTCCCTTGTCTCGACTGCTATATTTTTGCCTTGGGCCATTTCATTTATGATGATTTTTATGGGCAGCCGTATCCCGCGACTCCACGCAACTGTGGACAAGCTGCCCGCGCCATCCACCTGCTGACGGGGGGCGCGCCCGGGGGGGTATCCGAAAGTAAGGTTTTGTGGTGAAGTTGGGGGTTGCGGGTGGGATGCGGTGGATCAGGGCCACCCGCGCTAGCGCCAATCCCACGCTAATGTACGAAGTACATGTACTCTGTACATGTATGTATGTACAGCGCCACGCAAAAAGTGTGAAACTTTTGTGGCTAGTCTCAAAGTAACTTAATGCATAGTAATTAGTAGAAGTTATAGAGTCAGATGATACGCAAATGAACTCATTTACTCCATTCTTCTCACAGACTTTTCTCATATTATTCCCTCATAATGTTGAGTGGAATCATACATCCGCAGGATGTATAATGGGATGATCAATTATCTCAATAAACAGTGCGTAAACTAGTGTAGTTTTACTGGAATCACAAAAGGTTACTGTACTATGCCTATGTCGGTCGGTGTACGGAGGCTCACTGTTCCCGCCATTAGCAAACTCTTTTCTGGGATTCGATGTGGCTTCGAAGTGGCTCATGTATTGATAAACAACCCTAGCAGCGGCAGAAAAGCAGGTTTTTGGAGGGGGAAGGAGGAGCTGATTCATGTGGATCAATACGGCATACTTCCAAAGTATGAAGTACGACGGGAGGCATCGTGCAGGGTGGGAAGAATTACGCAGGATGGCCAGGCATGCGTTGCGGTGATCATATCAATTACAACCAAGACCCCCCCCCCTCCCAAACCACCATCAAGAGCAAAGGACAGTAAAACTGAAAGCTGGTTTTAGTCACTGACTTTAGAGATGAAGAAGGGAGAGTATAACAACAAAAGCTGACAAAGGAGTAGTCTCGGTTTCCCGGTCTTGAACGGTTACATCATTGTATCCGATGCTATGATGGCTGTCTCAGCGCGTCCTGCTAGTTAAAGCTTTGAGAAGGAGAGTAAAGGTCATCTCTTCAGCTGCACTTGGAGCCTGAAATTTGACTGCCAAACACATGTCCCACAGATCAAGTATTGAAGATTCCGGATGACAGCCAAAACCTACTTTCGCCCTTTGTTGAACAAACGCACCGATAACCCAAAAGACAGCTTCTACCTGCACAACTAGCAAGGGTGCCTCAGAATATCAACCAATGGATGTGCTGCACTTGGCCAGATGCCATCAGAAGTGGCTCTGATGATGGTGTGAGTTTGATATGCAAACACCCTGCCACGAAGCATGCAGCACTACCTACCATATCATGCAATGCCATTCAGTACTTGATTGTCAAATGTGACAACAATACAACCAGGGTTGCATGAAACAAAATACTGGGCCAGGCCAGCTATTTCAGATTCAATCGTCGAGGGGCATCGTTAACCACGTCTTGCTTAAACTGGCTGTGAAAAGCAGAGAGGAACTCTTCATGAAGGGGGACCGAAACTCGTCGTTGTAAATATCTGATAATTACTGACTAATGTACTTTCTGCCACACTTTGTTCCCTCTCTGTCTGCAGCCACACTGAATTCATGGGGCTGCATAAGGATAAATAGACAACGAGCCTTGCATGGACTACATTAGTGCATGCATCTCTCTTTGCTCACTTCTTCTCCAAAAATGAAAGAGAACACATTCTCTCTTACTCGTCTAATTGACCTTGTCAAACTTCAAGTTGAAGGTATCTTACATTTCGCCAAGCGTCACTTGTATTCAGAGAGCTTAGCTGGAGAAACATTTTATACTTCAAAGTTTGACTCTCTTTCTTGTTGAATGGTGCGGTGGTCGCCGTATCCCTGACGAAAGTCCCGAGGCTTTCATGGGTATCCTGAAAGGCGAAGGCAAAAAAGAAAGAAAGAAAAGAATATTAACGAAAAAAAGAGGTGAGAGAACCCAATAGCAACACATCCTACCACCTTAATATATCCCAATGGGGTTAGGGTTGGATGCGCTGAACCTTGCCCTCATCCTTCACAAGCTCAATATCTGAAAGCGGATTGGATGGCTACATGGACATTCCCCAAACCCTGGATCAGATTATTATGCTCCTCATTCTTGGGTTTATACCATTTTTGCTTTAAACACAAGCTCTTTCATGCTCCGGTTACCATGATAGTCACAATCGCGACATAACGCCCGGGCGGGCGAAGGTGGTGATAAAGCTCTAGATTGTATTCTCACTGCTAGCATGTACGGAAAAGGGTGCTTGATGCCGGGCATGCATGGAGCATAGGGATTTGGCCAGAACAAAATTACCATGAGCTTTTCGTGGACAATAATGGGACCAAGCCTTGCCATGTTTGAAGCTCCCATTTCTGACATTCTAACCCTATTTAGCAATTCCCTCACATTAAAAAGCAGAAGCTCCTGGGCCTGAGCCTGATCTCCAGATTCCCCTCCCGCCATGGATTAGTTATCCGCGACTTTCTGATTTGATCACCTTGCTTCTGAATGCTTCTCCCGGAGGCTCTTTACAGGGGAAGAAACTTGCCGAATATGCTCAGAGCAAGTTCTCGAACCTTAGCTGGCTTGAAGGAGAAAAGGCCGCTGGCCTATTATTCTCCCACGATGGCGCTCTTGATAGCGGCTCAGCCTGCCGTGAAACTTTGACACCATCAATTGTCGTGTCAGTGCCGGCCAGGACAGGGTGATTCTAGTAGCCCAGGTTCAATGGTGAACCTCGCTAAATCTGCGCAAATCTTCTTCATCATTCTTGTTACAAGCTTGATGTTTCGATCTTACGTGTGATTGATTGATCGGTTTGTATTTCACCGCCGATATTATCTGAGCTGCACGTCGGTCGCTCCGGGCCCGTAATCAGAATAAATAACAGCGATCCCGGGCTACAACCATGAAATATCCAAAGACAGCACGTGGGCCTCCGCCTTGGGAGCGGAGCTGGGGCTGCCCGACCCGCCCGACGCCCCGCGACGAGTAGTATCGATCTCCAATAATGTAGGTCCATGACTACGACCTAGAGGAGTACACAGGCTATCTTCATATCTTAGGAGGATGCTGGATGAATATCACAGGCCTACTTGCCTGATAACTGTATCGGTAAGGTCTGGGCTAGAGATGATATGGCTAAAGGAAATTGTTCTAGTGCTCTTCTCGCCATGTTCGGGTTTGCCATATGAATTTACAACCCCTGATTTTGTCGAAGTATGCGCTTGAAGCATTTCGTTCTGCTGATACTGGTGTAAAGCCAAGACAAGGGCATTGCGCACTCCGCCTCGCAGCAAAGAGAGTGGTGCTAGTGCCCAATGTCATGACATTCTCACACGAACCTGACCCTGAAGCCCGTTTCGTCTCATCCCTTAATCGGCTTACTTCACTTTACCTACCTACGCCCTTCGAAGCACGCCACACACTTGTGATATTGGGCAATTCCACCCAAACAGTTTCAGGTTCTCTCGTTTGCCCCATCTCGGAGTGGGGAAAATTACAATAAGCCAGGAGCTTGCCTGTCCTAAGGTCATGATGGTAATATAGTTAACTAAGGAAGAGATGGATGTAAAAAGTTAACACTCAGAGCGGGAATGAAAGCGCTATTTGATTTCATATGCAATCTAACATAAATGGGAAGGGCCCGACCTCCATAGAAATTCATAAAAAATAAAAAGAACACACATATAAAAATGACACAGATCTAGAAGGGACTATAAGACGACGATAAGTA